GGTGCGTGGGTGTGTGTGTGTGTGTGTGTGTGTGTGTGTGGGTGCGTGCGTGGGTGCGTGCGTGCGTGCGTGCGTGCGTGCGTGCGTGCGTGCGTGCGTGCGTGCGTGCGTGCGTGCGTGCGGGCGGGTGGGTGGGTGGGTGGACGGGCATCCTGCGAGTTACAGTCGCTCCAGAGGCCGGCGTTGGTATGTCTCCGCTGCGCTGTGCTGCAAGGTGTGGCTTCGAAGAGCCCTGTGCAATCTCTGGGCTGCAAAATATGGTACGGATGTAGAACTGGAGGCCGTGGAGCACGGTTTTTTCAAGAACAAGTTGTAGGCAAACAGCAACAGTCGCCAAAGGAGAAAGCTCTTTCCAAAAGAGCTGTGGCCAAGTGCCCGAAGCAGCACCCTGTAGCCTGTCTCGGTCGTCAAGCAGAGGCTGCGAGCACGATACCGCACACATGGCTAGGCTGAGAATAGTGACACGCAAATTCGCTTGCGTGAGTCTGAGCACCCTGCAAGCGAGGCGGTCTCGATGGCAACATCGGTAAACCCAGGCCCGAGCTGACGAGCCTAGGACGGAGAAGCGGGACGGCCTCTCGGAGCCGAAAGCTGAGGGACGCGCCAGCTGGTGCCGGGTCTCCAGGTTCGTCACTCCCTCGGCTTCCGGTGCCCAAACGCAGACCGCTTCGTGGTGTCTCGCTCCCAACACCGCTCGAGGCCTCTCGCAGGAACTGCTTCATTCGCAGCATTCGAGAAGAGAACTGCTCAGGGCATGGCCTGAACTCGAAACGAACGGAGCAGAGTAACGGGAGTAACTTCCCGATGTCTTAGCTGGTGGCTCATCCAGATACAACTGAACGATAGCCTGGAGCCACTCCTGCGCCCAACATGTGCAGTACAACAACGAAACACGGTGTCAAACGACTGACTGCTCACCGGGAATCAACGAGCTAAAAGGCAACTACACAGATTACTGCATCTAAAATCTGGACATCCACACTTCATGGGATGTACTGGAGTTTTCAGGAAAGGCAAGAGACTACACCCTCGACGGTTCAACTCAGAGCGATGGTAGGAGCACAGCTCGGCTCTCACGTCCCAAGTCTAGTAAGGCTGGCCTTGGAGAGGGGCAGGTGCTGCAGAAAAAGCTGAAGGTACAAGCGGTTGCCAAGCCTTAGGCTCCATTTTATTCTCCTTGCCACTGCAAGCGATTATTGTCGGGGTCTCGGCAGAACCACCTGTCTGTATAAAGCTCTTGGCCATACCTGCGACACGGCCCCTCATGTGAATGCAAGAGCAAGGATCGGGCTTGAGCGAGCGGACCTTGAACAGCCCATCTCCACAGGAGTGGCGGTACGCGCTGACCTTGAACCCAAGGTAAACAAGAGCCAAATCAGCTGCCTGCGAAGAATAAGATCGGCGCGACTTCGAGCGTGGCGATGAAGTCCTGGTGGTACTCAGCGAAGACCTTGGTCTCACACAGCGACTCAAGCCATGAATGCCATGACCTGCACCTCCCAATCCCAGCCTCAACCTCGGAGGGCATCAAGTTGATGACCACGAAGACATCACCAGCCTCTAGCTCCGCAAAATCTCTGCAAATCCAGGGCGAAGCAAGCGCATGGGCCCCGGCAGGGCCCAATGCTGGCGGCAACACTTGTGATTGTTCCTGGCCTTCGGCAGACGAAGCTTCAGCTGAAATGGATACAATTCATGATCCAAGCCATCGACTTTGCCGGGGCGCACTCAACAACCCCTTGCCTGTGAGGTGGTGGCACACTGACTGGCTTGTCGAAACGAGCTTAGGACTCTAGAGACAACATGTTGAACCCTTGACTACGTTTTGGCTAATTCCTCCGAAATTACCGCTGCACGATTTGCGCAGTGACACGATCATGCATTACGTACCAGCATTCATAAGCCATGTTTGCGGACCTGCTGCAGATGCTGTAAACTTGTCACAACAATTCTGGGCTTCGTGAACCTTGCTTCCGTGTCGTGAGGAAGCTCCAGATGGGCACCTGCCTGCACCTGGGACATCACCATCGCTGTGCGCTGGCCCTGTGCTGCTGTCCTTGAACATGCAAAGCAGAAAGCACCAGGGACAAGATGATCGGCAAGATGCGATTTCTGGTATCAATGACGGTCCGAGTCCTTGTCCATGCAGGAATCCTCTCACCAGCAGCATTGAGCTCCCCAACGCATCAAGGCTGAAAAAACTGCTCACCCCAAACGGGCTGCCGCAATTCCATCACATGTTGAGTGTGAATCAATGACTACACACATCCGTGGCATCATAACACATCACAAACAGTCATTCCGCATGTAGATGCTCGACCCCACAAGAAACCGGTCAACTCGAGACGCGGTGGCATGACAACACATCAAAACCAGCCAATCCCCAGCTAGACGCTCGATTCCACAAGCCGCTCGAGACACACATGAGTGGCAGCCAGCACTTCCCCATCTAGACATTCGATTCCACAAGCACCCACTCGAGACCAACATCAATGGCAGCACACCATATCCAACCCAGCCTTTCCGCATCTAGACGCTCGATTCCACACGAGCCCACTCGAGACGCACAGCAGTGGCATGACAGCACATCAAAACCAGCCATGCCCCACGTAGACGCTCGATTTAGCAAGCACCCGCTCCGGAAACACATCAGCAACATCGCATCAAGCACGAAATCTAAACCAGCCGTTCCCCATGTAGACGCTCGATTCTTTTGCAAGCAGAAAGAATGATGATCCATGTAAGTTGCGGTGATGCGACCCCCCCGGGCGCTTCCCCCCAGTGTGGGGTGGGATCCAAAAAGCATGATGCGACTTAGCTCCACCACTGTACCAAGGGACCGTAAATGCGTCCAGTCATCCTGAGAGGCCTCACGAGGAAAAAACCATCCGGACATCCCGTGCCAGCAGGGTTGTGAGCTTACCCCGCAAGATTCCAGCTTAGCTTTTCATCACCAGTCACGTCGTTAATGTGTAACTTGCGGCGAAACTTAAGCAGCAATGCACAGCGACCAGGTTGTAGCGTGTCAGAAGCAAACAGAAAAATACGCGGATGCATCCGAAGGACTTCTCCGTGTGATAACACCAGGATCAAGGTTCCGGGAGACTATGGGGGAGGAGGAAGGGCCTCGCAATATGGTAGGGACGGCAGTGTAGCAAAACTCTGATCCGCGTCCATTTTGGGCTTCGGCCTCGGGCTTGGGCACCTGCATGCGGACTGCAATCTGCAAATGCTTCTGCTGCCTCCTCGTTTACTACTTCGCACCTGGTTGTTGAGTTCGAGCTCCACGTCTCCGATTCGTTGGGTGTCTCGGGCAACAGCTTCATTGATCACCCTGAGAGTTGTCTCGTCGAGTTGGCGTTAGCAAAACACCGCAGTTCCCTTCGAGCGCCTGGATGATGGCTGCAGCATTCAGCTCGTCCGCCGTGTGGGGGATTGCGCCGGGGTCCCCGTCTTTACCAGCCACTGATGTATGCATTCACGCTCGGGTTGCCACTGTCACGATCATGTACACGTGGTAGGCCCCCTCCCAGCGAAGCTCTTGCGGCAAAGGAGCTGCGGCAGGTAGGTCCCGCAAAGTTCCGCCGATCCCCTCCCCGTCGATGTTCGCAAAGTCCCGAAACGAGAGCGCACAGTCAGCCTCCTGAAACAAACACCCCGAGGTCGCGGGTCAGAACCTGGAAGGAGAGGTCGCGTAGATCTGCGATCGCTACCTTCAGGACGATTACTGGGGGCGGCGACTCTCTCTCGGCAGACGGCCGGGTTGAGCTCCTCTCTTAAAGGGGGGCTCGGGGCTTGAGCACTCACGGCTTGAGCCAAAATGGCTACGCTGTCTCTCTCTTCTTTCTTTCCTTCGCCAGGGCTATGGCTCTCTCTCTTGCTTGCTTGCTTGCTGCTAGCGGCTTCGAAGGAGCACACTCGTGAGCGCACCCCCCCACGCAATGCGCGCAGCCGAGTTCAAGGTCTTCCGAGGAACACAGATTCGTATCCCCCGGCTCGGTGTGAAAGTAGGGTCCCAGCATGTTCTGATAACTTTGCCAAGAGAGTAAAGCTATAGTCATGCCCCCTCTCTCTCTCTTTCTCTTCTTCCACACAGCCAAAGGAGCAGCCGGCGTTACCCCCCGCACGCAAGCGCGCACTGTGAGTCTCAGATCCTGTGTGAGACCACAGCACGATGAGGTCCCCGGAAAGCAAACTCGCACAGCCCCCACCCTGTACACTACCTATCGACCCCCGGGCCTCATCCTTAGGCTGGCACCAGCTCTGTATGCCTACTGACAGCATATTGTGCTTTTCACAACTGTAGAGGCTCTGGCAGGCTTCGGAAACAAGCAAGACTGACTCTCCTTAAGCACTAACCTACCACACTTGACTGCACGCATTACCTGCCTCAGCTACTGCTGGTGCCCCCTTCTCAGTTCTCAGCTGGTCGCCCCCGGGTTCATCAAACATGGCAACAGTATCACACAAGGACAACTCTGACCCTAGTTGTTCCCCCCTCGGGCTGCCGCTGGTTCTTCTGTGCTGCACACTGAGCTGCTACTCGCACTGTTGAGGGTTATGCTCACCTACAACACTGCAACACAACAACACTCAAACACTTCCCTTGGCAGTGCGATTCGAGCTGCTAGCGAACTGAGGCTCCGGCCGAACGACAAAGAAAACTGCACACAGCTCAAAACTCTCAAAGGCACTCCCACCTACGATCCCTAAACAACCTGCCGGCTGGACCCCTTCGCTTCACTTCCCTACTGCTAGGAGCCGTCTTCGGCGGTGGCTGCTCTCACTCACTTCGTCCCCCTCTGGTCCGCGGAGGTCTTCTGCTAGCACAGCTTCCTGTCCTCTCTCTGTTCTTGCTGTTCGTACTCCTCGAGGGCGTCGAGCAAGTCCCCGTCCGTGGGGAAACCGGGTTCGCTTGTCTGTGTGTCCCCCTCGTTGGCCGACGATGGTATACTCCCCGGCCATTGCTCCACCTCCAGCGGAGGCTTCCACGGCTGCACCTCATCTGTAGGGGGTGCCCCTTCCCCCTGGTCCGTCGTCTGGGTTTCGATCTCCACCACTTCGTCCGGGCGATCTTTCGCTCTCCAGACTTGTATGGCGGCCAGCAGCTGTCTGACTTCTGCATGCCCCTCCGTCACAAAGGCCATGACTCCCCCAATGTTGCGTATCAGCTCATCAAGTTGCTGTCCCCAACTGCCCAGTGGCGTCGGAGGGGTTTCCTGTGCCCCTTCTGAGAGGGCCGCAACATCCGCTGGGTGCACGAAGTCAAGTTGCCCCTCTTCCTCAAGCAACTGCTCTGCATCCTCCATCAACACCACCACGGCCTGTCCCCAACCTGGCACATGCCAGTCAAGGTCTCCTTGTACTGTGGCTGAGATCGCTGTTTGTACCGCTGCCTGGGCCTGAGCCAACCCCTGCAGACTCTGTTGCACCTGAAACCCCCACTGATTTGTAGTGGCGTGTTGTAGAAGTTTCTCCCCCACGGCCAGGTCGTAGGTGGCTTGCTCCAGGTCGTGGCGAATTTGGTGTGCGTTCAGGCCGTCGACATCGTCCTCCTCGGTGAGGTCTTGCAGCCGCATTCTGGCCACCGAGATGGAGTTCATAATGCGTCTCTTCTTGGAGGGTCCCCCCGCCAAGCTTCCGTTGTCGCACGCCTCTGGCTCTGCCTTGCTGCGCCCCACCGCTTGCGAGGCTTGTTCCAAAAGGACATGTACATTGTCCCCCGGGCTTCTCTGGCTCAAGACTGCGGCAAGCTTTCGCAGCCAGTGTCGCACCATGGCTGCGGCATTCGGCATGCGACGCGGCCTCGGTCGCTGGAACAGGCTTTCCCCATGGCTGGAAGTGGCTGCGCTGTCGTCTAGCTGAGTGCGCTGCATAAGCTGTGTCTCTTCCCCTTCTGTCTGCTGCGTGTCACTCTGTGTGGGGCTGGTGGCGGTGGTGCTTGCTGCCCCCCTTTGCGGCTGTTGTTCTCCCTGCTGCTGCGGCTGCGGCTGCGGCTGTGTCGGGCTGGGCGGCGGCGCAGGTGGGGGGTTGGGTGCCGGACCGTGCTGTCCCCCCTGGGTGTGGTCGAAGGTGGGGTTCAGTGCTGGGTGTCGGGCCTGGTTGGGGGATGGGATGAGCTGAGCCGTGAGCTGCTCCCAATGGATCGGAGGGAGCGACCAGGTTCTGGGGAGCCCCCAATATATAGCGCCGGTTCCTCTCATGTTCCCCCAATCGTAGAAGTATTGGAGCGCGAGCTTGGGTGGAAGCCTGCCTAGTCCCCATCCCCCAGTCCCCCCCTTTCGCTCTAAGGTGTAGCTGGTCCCCACCGGCAGCTCCGTGGCGTCGCTGTCTGGCTGGGCTGGCGTCGAGGTGATGTGGACCAGCCATTTGACTGGTTTGCCATTGGTTATGGCCCCCCACGGGAATAGAGCAAATGCCGTCCCCACTGCAATGTACCCTGGCGGGTCTTCCCCCCCTTCTCTCCTGCTTAGCCGGACTCTGTAGAATCCTCTGCTGGGGTCGTTGTAGCTTGGTGCTCTTCTGGAGTTCTTGACCATGACCACCCCGGCCCACACTCCATACGGGAAGCTGCGCAGGTGTGCTTCCGCCCCTCGTTCAATAAAGAGCTCTGGAGGAAACGTCAGGGGGCGGGTTGCCCCTCCGTGGGAGAGCAGCATCACATGAAAAATGCCGTCCCACATGCTGGTGTCTTCATCGTGCTGCTGCGGGGCTTGGGTGCTGCTGCTTGCTTCACGGCGCCTGCGTGGGTCTCCCTGCGGCTCCCCTGCTGCTGCGTGCTTGGTCTGTGCCGCTGCCGTCGAGGGTCGCTGGTGTTGTTGGGTTGGCGTGGCTCCGACTGTTCCCCTTGGCAGGGTGTGGAGGTTGAGTAGCAGCCCCCAGTCGATCCCCCCTTGATCCCCTGCTGGTGCTGGCTGCTGCTGTTGTCCCCGGCGTGGGCGTCGTTGCGGGCCGGCTGCGAGTACTTTGGCCCAGACCTCTTCGTCGTCTTCCTCGTAGAGGTCGACCATGTACGCCACTTGCTTCCACGTCTGGTCTTCCCGTTTGTCCCAGCCGCGCTGGGCGAACGCTTGCTGGACGGCGGCCTTGAAGCGCTTTCCTCGCATGCGTTGGTCGCCGCGTCCTTCGTGGTACGGCTTGTCTGGTCCCCCCGAGAGCCCCTTGCTTGGGGCTTCTTCGAGCTCCTGGTCTGGTGGTATACCCCCCTTCGCGCTGTTGGTGCCTCCCCCTGCTGCTGGTGGGCTGGTGTCTTCACCCTTGTTGGGTCGCGGTGGGTTGGTGGAGTCCCCCCTCTGCGGCGGCTGCTCGTGCGAACTGCTGGCTGGGTGCTGTGCTTCAGTCTGAGAGGGGCCGGCCGTGCATGCGTGTCCGCTTGCTTGTGGCGCCCCTGGGCGTCCTGTGGCACTCCTCTTTGTGTGTGCGCCGCTGCTGCCGGAGGTTGCTGGTGCTGGTATTGTTGGGCCCCTGTTGGACCGGTCCCTGTCGGCGGGGTGGTTGCTGCACTGCTGTGCGCCTGGCTTTGCTGTGTTGCCATCGCCGGTTGTTGTTGGCTGGGAACGGTGGCCTCGCCGAACGGTAGTGGGTTGGCATGGCCTCCGAGGGCTGTCCCAGTCTCTCCTGTCTGTTGCTGCGGCTCCGGGGTGTTCCCTGCTGGTCCATGGTCCGCTTGCTGTTGGTGGCTCGTAGAAGATTGAGTGGGAGCCGTGTTTGCCTCCGGTTGCGTCGCCGCTGCCGCTTGGTGGGGGTCGGTGGCTGCTGGTCCGTCGGTGGCGGCTGCTGCTGTGCTGGAGCTCGCTGGTTTGTCCGCTGCTGCTGTCCCCTCCGTCTGGTCTGGGTCAGTGTCTTCTGCCGGCAGGTTGCTGCTGCGGAGTTGGAGCGTGGGCCCCTGCTGCTGCTGTTGCGGTAGCGGTGGCGCTGGCGGTGTCCCACCAGGCCTGTAGGTTTGGGACCAGGGGTCGTCCCCTTGCTGCTGGGGTGGAGTGGGTGCTGCTCGTGTGGGCTTAACTGTTCCAGAGCCACCTAGTTGGGCAGCCCCTAGTACGTAGAGAAAAAACTTCGCGTACCACCTGGGTGGCATGCTGCTGACTGTGTAAGTGTCCTCAAGGTTTTGAGCACTGCAAAGCAAGGCGGTTCACAGGTGTGTGGTCTGCGCTGCTGCCGGATCTGCAAACGGCAAGAAACATGACAGCAACATTGAACTGAATGCATGTCGTGAAGGTGGCTGCATGCTAGGCTATCAACATGTCTGTCTCATTCGCGCGTGCATGTCTCCTCCCCCCCTCTCTGCTGTTGGGTGTAAGATTGGCCAGGCTGCTCTGCTTCCCCGAAGCCCACGGTACATCGAAGCGCTCCACAAACTGCCCCCCCTTCTCTCCCCACTCCTTGAAGTCGCGAGCAAGCTCCTTCCATCCCACCCCCGCGATGGCCACCAATTGTCTCTCTGGATCCGCGAGCGGGTTGAACTTGACGTGTGTGTGCCTCTCTCTTCTGGGCTTGGCTTTCTCCACCTCCCACCAGGAAACGTCCTTCCACGTGAGCATGGGCCTCCCCCCGGCTTCGGCACGGGCCATGTGTCCATATAGGTCCCAAGTATGCTGCAGCTGGAATGTGCTCCAACGAAGGATCTTGGACTGATGCAGTGCGACTCGGGCCCCTCTCATGGTACGAACGTGCCATTCCTCCCATCGCTCCCCCGGTCGTCTGTTGGGGCACATCATGCGTCTGACTTGGAGCAACTGGGTGGTGTTGATCGCCTTCAAGATGCCGTCTGTGACTGGCCATGACTGCCCCCCCCAGAGTGCTGACCCCCGGACCAAGGTCTGGTGGAGCTTGATGCGTTCCCTGATGGGCGACGGCGCACATAAAAGTCGGCTGTGCTTCCCAAAGGCCTTGCGAGCTCGGTGGTTCATTTCGGCCACGATCGCTGCTGAGCTCTCTCCGAACGTTAAGGGGGAACCGAGGGCTGTGATAACCTCCCCAAATGGCTTGCAGCTCACGGCCTCTCCTCCGATGCGCAGGGCGCCCCCCCAACAGGTTGGCTGAATATGATCGCCGTCTTCCCTAATCAGGAGTCCATGGCGGGCAAGCCTCCTCTCCAAACTAGCGAGGGTTGCCTGCAGATGTGCGTGGTCATGCGACCAGATGTACATGTCGTCCATAAACGCCCCCCCAGATTGTGGCGGCGGTGGCCCCTTGGCAGATGTAAGCATGTACTGCGTCTCCCTTGTCGCCTCTTCAAGGCAGTCGGCCACAATGCGGCTGAAAAGAATTGGGCTATCTGGGGAGCCCTGTCGCACTCCATTTGATTGTGGGATCGAGGTAAGGGTATTCCCCCCGGCCACCTGCATCTCCCTCGCTTCGAGAAGCCCCAGCCAAGCTCGCGCCTCCCACGGCATCCCCCCTGCTGTTCCTCCTCCCCCCGGCCTGAGCCCCCCGACTTTGCTGGCAACCATGTCCCCCATGCTTTCTTGCCACACGCTATCAAAGGCCTTGCGCACGTCGAGCTTCACTATCCATGTGGGCACCCCCCATTCCTTGGAGTGCCTGACGACGCGACGAAGGACCACTAGGAGCTCCGGTGCCTGCTTCCCCTTCGCTGGAGCAGTATAGTCGCGCCTTGGAAGCTCCCCTTTGTATAAAAAATCATTGAGCATGTGCAGCACGCGCCCCGCCCACACTTCCTGTTGCATGATCAGGCGCAGGATCTCATGTGTGACCCCGTCGGGACCGGCAGCCTTCCCGTTCTTCCAGGTACGGGTGGCCAGTTGCAGCTCATCTGCCGTGAAGGGTCTCCAGGCTTGGTGCTTGCAAAGACGTGTGAGGGCTTGGCGTGTGTCCCCCAGCCTTCGTCTGGTACGCGCTGCGGGGGCCTTCGCGAAGATGGAGCTGAAGTGGTCCCGCAGGTTCTTTTTCCACTGCGGGTCGTCCGTGAGCCCATGTTGCCACCCCACGCGAGCATGAAAGTGGTTGAGCGCCCGGTAGGCCCCCCAGTGAGACTGGCTGGCAGCTTTGACAAGGCCCCCGTGCCAGTCTCTGAACTCTTTCTTTCTGAGCTTGTTGCGGTGCTTGCTGAGCTCGGCGTCTGGCTTGGCGGAGCGCGGAACTCTCACGGAATTTTTCGCTCCCCCTGCCTGGCTCGGTGATGCGGAGCGCCAGCTGGTTGAGCGCCCGGTGCGTGTCCATCTGTAGTGGCGGGGCCAGGACTTCTTGGTGGGCATCCACTCCCTTGGCGAACCTCCTTGCCCCCCACGTCGGTTTCGGCTGCAGCTGAGGCTTGGACTTTGCTCCATCCGATCTCGCCCTGTGTCTGCTGCCCTCCAGGACCCCCCCCTTGTTCGGAGCCAACCCTTTGCAAAGAACGTAGTCCAATCGTCTGGGTCGTTGGGCTGTATTGTAGGGGTGGTAGGTCGGGAGGTGCAAGTCCTGCGACGGGCCTTCAAGGAAGAACTGGGAGAGGACAAGCAGCACAGCTTCCCCACGGCCAGTGTGCGCTCGCCAGCCATCGCCATCCGGGTCCGTGAAGGCTTCGTTGGCGTCAAACCCGAGAACAACACGTGCCTTTTTCAGCGAATGCTCCCATGCTCCCATGATGCGCGAGGCCTGCTCTATGGTGGCGTGGTGTGGGATGTGTCCCGCGATGTATCGGATCGGTTTGTCCGACCCGCTCTGGGTGAGAGTAGCGGCAATCCCCCCGGGTAGAAGACGCGTGTCTGTATGCTTCGTGGCTTGGTCTTTGTAGGCGACGGCCGTTCCCCTCCAGTCGTCCGCGTTCTTGCCAAACACAACAACCCATCCCTGGCCCTCGGCGAAGAAAACTCCCGGCTCGGTGATTATTTCCTGCAGCAGAAGGACTTGCAGTGCTTCCATCGTCGGGTCCCCCGAAAATGAATGGGTCAGCTCCAGCACCTGTTGTGCCGTGAGGCCTCCCACATTCCAAGTGCCCCTCCGATGTCGTTGTGGAGGATCATCGCCCCCCTCTGTACGGTGAAACTGTAGTGCCGCGTCTTCCCATCATTGGAGCTCCGCTTTGCGGGCGCTCCAGGTGACCTCTATCTCACGGCGGGTCTTGTGCATGGCCTTGGCGAGGAGCTCCACATCGACCCACCCTGCCCCCACCGACTCCGCTGCGGATGGCTTCTCGGCTGTGGCACTGGACACCTTGTATTGGTTGTACCAGACTGTGCCGGTGGCAAACTCAACCTCGAGCTCCTTGGCAGATCCCCCCAACTCCAGGATGGCCCTCTTCACCTTGCCTGCTAGTTTGGCTCGACGTCGTCGTTCAGGGCTTTGGCTTATGGCGATCCACAATTTGCGCATGCCCCCCTGCTCGTTCTTGCCCAGCATGATGTTTGCGTTCCTGACACGTTGAATTGCCCCCTGCACGCGCAGTCTTCGTGCGTCCTCATCTTCGAAGGGCTTCGCGTTGATGGGGAGGACAGCGTAGCCTCGTCGTAGCCCAGGGACGAACAGATCATCCCCATTGAGGGGAACTTCCAACGTCCGTAGAACTTCCTTGGCTGCCTTCAAAGTGTCCTCTGCGGCCTGGTCGGGATGCCAGCCCCCTATAATCAGTGCGGGTTTCCTTCCCCCTTCTGTATCTGCCGTGCTTCCTGGCGCGCTCGACGTGGGTGGCTTAGCTTCCAAGGTGGTGAGCCGGAATTCCAGTTGAGCTTGTGCATCCCGGACTTCCTGCAGAGCCTGCGCCTGGCTGTCATAATTCTTGGTGACCCGGTCAAGGGCGCGGACTGTGTCTTGAACTTGTTGCGTGACAATCGCCTCCACCGCCTGGACTTTCCCCTGCATCACGGTCACATCCCCCTGGACGCTGGCCAAGCTCTGCGCCAAGTGTGCACGATCACGCTCCCGCTCCTCCGCAAGGACCGTGCGGAGCATGGCCAGGGTAAGTGCTTGCTCCTGTGTGCGGCCCTTCTTTGCTGGCGATTCCACCCCTTCGGTCCCCCTGTCCTCGCGGTCTATCTCAATGGGCCCGCTGCCCCCCGGCTCCCCTCCTCCTGCCAAGGTAGATGCCATTCTCTATGTCGTCGGGATAGTGTCACGTTGCACAACCTGCTGGTTCTTTACGACCCCTTCTCAATGTCCTGGATCGCAACACGGCCCCCGGCAGTGTGTAGTGTCGCCGCCGAATGCGGTGGGGTAGTTGGTGGCAGGCTCCCCCTCACGCCTCGAAGAAGGATCACGGGGTGCTCCGTTCGTGACTATGTCCCCCTCCCGGACCCGCTCAAGGAAGGACGCAAGGATGCCCCCCTTCTTGTGCAGCAATGGCTCGGCAGAGTCGCGTGAGTGCAGACAGGCCCCCGGGTTGGAGGTTGACTGAGGCCTTTCAGCAAAGCGGAGTGAAGGAAAGAGCAAGGGAGAGACAGGCTGGCCTCAATCACCTTGAACCACTCGCGGCTTGAGCCAAAATGGCTACGTCTCTCTCTCTCTCTCTCTCTCTTTCAATGACAGGCTCACACTGACGCGCAAAAGACCTTCTCTCTCGCACACACAAGCACGCTCATCTCCTCGACTTCAGGTCCGCATCCGGTGCCGTTTTCTGCCCCGTCCACCTGAGCGTTTACGGCCTAGTGGAACGTGCAGAGTGCTTCAAGGCCAGCATGTGCACATCTTCGAGAAGCACGCGTCCAAGGCATACGTTTCAGCACTGGCGTAGTTGGTCTGAGGGCAGCTCCGCTTGTTGTTCCCCCTGGCATTCAGACGGATGTCCCTCAAAACACCCACACACACACATGATCATTTACTCTCCGTTTCCTCGCCTACGGTATTTGAATCCCTGTGTCGGGGTCTTAGGCCGGGTGTGCGACTCTGGTGCGCCGGGTGCCAAATCAAACTCAAGTGGACACGATCAGGATCAACATGGCTCCACAACCCTCCACCAAACGGTGCGAGCGATTGCAGATTGAACGACCTCTGACTCTCGGCAAGCTAACTAGTTGTCTTTCTGGACTCGGGCCAGAACGCTACTCCTGCCCACCAAAGTCAAGGCTTCACCGCCGGCAGGGAGAGAGGGAGCATAGCTGCAGCCATCAAACCTGATGTTGTGTTCACGGTTGTAACCTCCATGTCCCTTCAACTCCGCGACGTGCCAATAAGACGCCTGGGAGACTCGGTCGGTCGGTCGGGTCACACGCCAGGCGGAGCGTGGACAACGGTGTCATGTACAAGTCTGGCTACTTCACGGTGATCGTCCAAACCTTTACATGCGTTCCTACAATTTCACTGATTCACTCACGTCTCGGCCTCCCAACTCTTCTGACAATCTGCCTGTTGCAGGTTGCATTGCTCCATGGATGATGGAAGTTTGGTGCATCAAATGGTCGCGTGGGCAGAGACTTGTCCAAAACAGCCTGGGGAGAGTCGAGCATGCTAAAGAAACACAGCTTCGCTACTCTCCGAGGCTCTCTTTGAAGCATCTTTTCGGTGTCCATGACACATCACCTCCTCGTGCACTGAAGCTCTCTAAGGCTCTAAGGTCGCTTCACCCTCCGACGGTGGACATTGAGCTTGAGGCCACCTACTGTCTATGCGCGGCCTAGGTATGAGGAAACAGCGCGCGCACACATGCACACACAGCCGTCTCCTCGCACTCCTCTCAGACTCCTCAGGTACCATCACCATGCATCACCTTCCTCGCTCGCCGACTTGGGCAGGCAGTGGTTCTTGCCACCTCTGGCCATCAGACTGGCTCACGTTGCTGGCACCCTGGAAAACTCTTTCGGAGGGAGTCAGGCTGCTTTAGTGCCCCCTCCTCATTTGCCAAGCTCTGCTCGGACGACAGCTGCAAGACAACACCGAACAACTCGTCGGCGAAACCCAGCCCTTCTGTCGCCCCGTCGCATCTACCTGCCCGCAGCAAACAAATGGGCGAACTGGCTTGATCAAGCGGCGGACCTCCGTGGCACTGAGTGACTGAGTGACGCACCAAGGCATTCGCTAAGGACTCCGGGCCTACTAAGGAGGCTGCTACTGGCGAATTTGCTCACCAGCAAGCAGAAGCTGCGCGAGCTGGGAATTCAGCCGTCAGTGGGAACTGCGGCCCAGTCGAAGCTTTCCTGCATGCACGGCTCAACATGGATGCATGTAGCTGTGCTGAAGAAACCCAGAAGCAGCAACACCTCTCTTACTACTGATCTAGGCGCTTCAACAAAGAAGCAGCAATCCTGGCCAGCAGTCGCAGCATTCTGCTCATGCAGAGAGGCAGCCAAGTGGATCTGCACTGCCTGGTGGGGATTTGGATTAGTTCTCACATGAATGCGCAGCCTGCTACCGGCAAGAACGAGCAAGTTAAATCGCCTTGAGCTGCAAGCATATCAGCGCGGCAAGCTCGTTGGCTACCAAATGGCGCTGGTGGCGCTTCCCTTTGAGAAACAGGCGTGCCTCGTCAGCAACCCCTTCAAAACCGGCCAAGGCCAAGGACGGCACCAATTCCGAGACTGGGACACATTGGAGGTACATGGAGAGGCAAAGCAGGAGCTGCTCCTCCCCATCCTGTTCTAGAAAGCCAAATCCAAACCTAATGACTAGTCCACATCCAAGTCTCCTCAGAGCAGATGTCTGTCCATTTTCGGCCTGACATGCGACTTCTGGCGAATCAAAGTTCAACACTCCACGTATCGCACCGCCATGACACCGGACGAAGCCAACACCGCGCCTAGACGCAGTGCCACTTGGCCAGCCTGGCAGCACAAGGAAAAGGGCCTAGTCACCCAACCTAACACTTTCACAGATGATTGAAGAAGTGATTAGTGCGGGAAGCTTGTACCTGCCGCCGGCGCAGCTCTGACGCGAGACGCGGAAGGCAATTCCGAAGAACGTACAGCAGTCTTGCAAGACTATTGCTGTTCTGAAGACGTGAGTGGTGCAAGGGCGTTTGTTTGTTCCCTCCGCTGACCGCCACTATCAACACTTGTTCTATCAACACTGTGTCAGAGACAACGTCGATGCGTTGACACTATGTATACACCTGCAATGTTCATTGCATTCACTAGACAGTTGCACGGGCAGTAAGATCGGCGTGCGAGTATTGCTCGTTCCGCACCGCATTTTCCGTCCAGGTCCAGGGCCCCCTCTGATGAAAACAAGCAGAAAAAGCGAAAAGCAAACACTGTGACTGTCTCAGCATGTCGACCCGCAAAGTGCACCTGCAAATGGACAAAGCCAAATCCAACCCAAGCCATTCTCTGCCGCCGCGAGGGATAACAGTAAGCACGGACTTCTTTGCTTTAGGTGCAGGCACCTCCCGTTGCCAACAACATGGCAACTTGTGTTCCGTGCTGGATGTCCTTCTATCAGGGACATGTTGCAGTGTAGCTATTCTTGATGAGATGCGCGATGTCTGAAGCTGAAGTTGTCGACCTGCAAACTTCACGAGGTATCCTCGAGTGTCATACGACACGAATCCTGGACGGATCCCAAGAGACTTGGCGGACGACCCCAAGTTGCGTGTACGCGTTCTTGCAGCTTGTAATGATGAAGCGCATGCATGCCATCAGCAAAACAGAACACTGAGGTAAGCTGCTGCCTGTCTCGGACGGTGCTATTGCTACACTGCCTTTGTCTCCAGCAGCTCTGCCAGCTCTGCTTCTAAGCCGAAGCTGCAGTGAACCTGCCCCAGACGATGTTCCAACGTCTAATTGCATGAGAAACATGACTGGGTGCATGCTTCGCCTGAACCAGCATTTCCAAGTCGAGGGGAAAATTCACCTGCAAGTACCTGCTGCGTCGACTAGCAGGACCGTCATGCTGCACGACGTTCAGCACTGTCCAGACCCTGATAGCTACGCAGAACTCAAGTGACAGCTCACTTCGCACCTTATCAGGGCCACAGCCAGCGCAATGTGCTGACCGCACTTCGTGGCATCCTCCAGGCGCGAATTGCAGGCAACACGGCCAAAGCTCTTGGAATTCAATCCACGGAAATCGATGTCCTGCCCTCGTCGCCTTCCTTCAGCCAGGAGGGCGTGCAACTCACCGTGACGAACCTTGTTGCACAAATCAAAATGCAAACGCATGTGTCGTCGTTTTGTGGGTGAGAGAAGGCTGCGCGTCTCGAGGTCGCAGCGAGATGCCCAAATAAATACTCCTGGAAGTATTGACAGTATTGATGACCACAACAGCGTGCCAGCGGACGAACATGAAGGCAAACAGCCGGTGTGGCCATGGCGTGGTACTCGGGAATGGCTACAAGCCTGAGTTCACGTATGGTACTAATCGATTAATGCGGATGGAGCCACTTCAGTTGAGACCCGGACAGACGAACAAGCAAATGGAAGTGCCCCCGAGCCACCTTGCGGATAGCAACATCAGGCAGGATCGTTTAAGGCTCTTGGAAAGTCTGTTCTGGACAATAAGGAGCCCTGCATAAAACTCTGCTCGAGCTTGAAGAAGCCGGAGTAACCTCTGTGATGTATGTACACCAACACCATCACCAATGGACCCTGTAAAATGAAGAATCAAGAGCATGTTTGCTTATTCGAAGCTGGGCAAACAAGAAGTTGGGTGTTTTAAGCTTTCTGCTCGCTGACAGAACGTTCCCGGCAGCCCTGCTCGATGTCGGATGCAGATGTTTTTTGTGCTGGTGAGACTGTGTCACTGACGAACGTGCCTGAACGTAGGAGTGATAGGCCATTATCAGCACCTCAACCTCCGTCTCTGGATCAAGGACTTGACTGGGAACCTGCGCAAGTGATGGCGAAGCTACCTACAGCTGCTGGAACGGGTACTGAGGTTGAGACGGTCACAGAGCCATGCTCCGTCTTCACCAGCTCCCTTCAATCGGGATGAAGGTCTCAGTCTTGAGTCCTAGCTCTACTGTAACCGTTGGACACCAGAAACGAACAACAGACGCCACTAGCAAACCTTCGGGGCTCCAAATTCCAAATCAGGCAAAACGTCGCTGCTCTTTCAGGTTTTCGGTGAGAAAAGGCCATGCAACCAGCACGTCAGGAGAAACTCCTCGGGAGAAGAGTGAGTTCCTTGGACGGAGGTCCTTCATCCGGGCGAGCATCACGAGATCAGGAGCGTCAGGACGCTCGCTCCAACCGACTACGTTGATGAGGCGACAGCTCCTGGCTGGCCACATGGTACAGCCTGCTTTCCAGGTCCACTACGGCTTAGGGAAGGCGGCTCCACTTCTCCATCCAACAATGCAAACACAGTACTCACAATACATACATAAGATAATAAGAACCGTAAACCTGCAACACTGGTTCAGTCGCGCCAGGATCTCACATGTGACGCGCCACTCGGAGGCTCGCACACGAACAGGGAAGGGACACAGGGAACAACCATCGATACCGCAGGCACTGCCACGATGCGACCACAACGGAAGTCGAATGATCGGTAGGAGGCTTCTTAGCTAGGAGAGTTTATCAGGCGCAGGGCATAAGGTGCTACCCGAGATAGGCCCGCACAGAGCTTCGGGATCAGAACTTGAGATGCTCTGGCCTGAAGCTTGGAATTCTTTGGAGCGCCGCATGTCCCAAGAGCTCCTGTGCTATAGACAGCACAGCGTTCAATGCCGTCCACACCTGCAGCGAGTCTTCTGCGGTAGCTCGAAGTCCGGGCCTGTGACGGGCTCAGCAGCGACACAAACTCGTCGAGCTTCTCTTCCGCCCACCGCATGACACCCTGCGAGAGCCTAGGCACACCATGCGCAACAAGTCTGAAGTCTGAACAACTCATCCTCTCTTCTTCAGCCAAGCTGCATGGATTCGATAAAGGAGTCCAAGAGCACCTTTAAACACGCGCGCGGTTGTTCTGCGCAAGTCACTTTTTAGAGCCGAAGCCTCGGCTACGGCCACAGCATCAAGCCTTGGGAAGCCTGTGATGAGATTCCTGGATAGCCAGGCGTCTCGCAAGCGTTTCCAGATGTACCGGCCAGCGCCTACACAGCTCGATGTCCGCACAGTAGGGCCTCGGGATGCAGGCGAACTTCATGCGCGAGGAGGATCCGCAAGACTAGGTCCGGTGCTGAGGGCTGAGAAGCAAAGACAGCAGTTTGGTGGGCTCCACCTTCTCAACCTCAACACTGGCAAGCGTTAAGACCTGCGTCTGAGGCATGCTACATGTTTTGTGCACATGCAACCTGCCTCTTGATAGTCCATTCCGATGTTTCTGGACACCGAATAGAAAACCCTACCTCCGAGGACTGCGATAATTCGGGTCCCAAGCTTGCAAGGCACGTTCATGAAGCTAGGCTGGCTGACAGCGACGGCAGTACAGGGCAATCCTGTCTGAGCAGTGCCTGCACAGGAAATCGCATGGCGAGGCCACATGCCATCAATGCACTTGCGAAGTCTGAGCACTGGACGATCCCAACTCATTCAACAAGGGTTCTGCATCGCCTTGCCTCGGATGGTAGTCGCTTTCTCAGAAACTCTAATGCCAAAAGCTGTGGCCACGGCTCGGCAGCTGTCAAGGCTGAATCACTCGGCCTGTCGAGTGCAGGTGTCGCTGGTTTCGCAGCATTACAGTAACTGCCTGAACAGGGCATGGCGGCTTTGCTGGTGATGCATCGGGGCCCGGACTCTAATGGCGACTGCTGAGATTTCAAGCGACGCACAGCCTTGCACAGAAAAGTGTCGTAGCCAACACTGCAAAGGTATCACCTGCCTCCAAATGTTTGCCACCTCAGCAAACGAAGCATGCTGCAGCACTCAAGCCATCAGTCGCCTCAAACACTGCCAGGCCCGAGGCCAGCAATTGAAGAGAGAGCCGCGGCCAGTTTTTGATCTGAACTTTCATATCCAAAACCTCTGCAGAGTCAAAACTCAGATGCGATTGCACCAAACGGCATGGAAGTCTGCACGGTGCCTGAAGCTAGCTCGTCCGCCAGCAGCAGTTCGTCGCGATTGATGAGAGAACTGATCCCGGTCTCCAGGAATGGGATCAACCTTTCAGGTGCCAGTCTGTCGGACTTCTTTGCATTGGCCTCCAAAACGTGGAACAAAAAGAACAACACGCGTCGCGTGAATTGCTTCGACTCCATCCACGACTTGTGGTTCGATCGAAGAGTAGGCTCTTCCGCTGCTGCTGCCGTCCCGTCACACAAAGCACACGACTTTGAATTGTGCGGATGGGAATGGGTTCTATGATCATAGGAATCATAGGGGTGCCCACCAAAGGTCGGCACATTTCGGCCCTCAGGTAGCGACTCGCCGCGTGGGCCCTTCTGCTGTGCATCCAAGACCTAGGAAAATTTTGGAGAGTAGCTGGGTACAAGTAAGGAGACGTTTGTGTTCATCACCGAAGTAAGGTGCAGGCTGAGCCTCCCTGACCCTCCTTGGCCGAAGGCCCTGTGCCTGCACCGTAGTCAGCATGAGCCAAGACGGGCTTTCCAAGCGACTGAGAGCAGGACCGAAGGACGAATTGGCCCTCGCGCTCGTCATTAGCGCACCCTCCATGCCATAGAGTGGCAAAGCCTCAGGTTCTCAAAATTCTCAAAATGCTGCAGATGCCAGGGGAGGAAGGCCAGCTCTCGGCAGCCGGCATTTACTTGGTCTGGGATCCGATGCACCAGCGTGCACATGGTCTTGTAAGACAGGTCCTCACCGGTAGCAGCACTGGGGATCGTAGTGGTCGCACAAATGCAGATCCCCACCACTCGAAGGCACTTCTGAGAGCGGAAAGCGCATCTGACGGTTGGAACACGCTGCAAGATCTTTCAGCCGATGTTTCAGACCTCCACGTAATCCTTCACTAAGGCCTCACTTCTCTTCCACAACTCCTCCGCCAAAGCCTCCGTGTGCCAAGAGAGAGTCGGTGCTGGGAAAAGGGTGCCCGGTGCGCTCCACCACTGGCCGTCCGGCAGTTTGCCGGCCTCTGCAGAGTCGGCGAGCCACACGATGCCTTCAGCTGCTTGGCTCGGCGTCTTCAGGCCGAAGAGACGTGCCTGCCTAGCGAGCTGTGCAGGATCCAGGATCCATATCTCGGCGCTGCAATGCCCGCTCTGGAAGCGAGTATCGCACGATCTGCGTGGCTGTCGGCCCGGGATCGATTGAGTTTGCTGAAGCGAAACTACCTTTCGCGTGAAATCGTCGTGCGAGCTCTTCAGCAAAAAGGACGTTACAGGCCTTCGATGCAGCATAGGCCTCATGTCTTCCGTAGTCACGTCGTTTCCAATCCAAATCATCCAGATCCAGTTCTGCATCCAAGGCAGCTGAGGAGGTCACTGTCACAACCCGAACTTTCTCAGCCAAACAACTCTTCAATCCCATCCACAAAGCGAAATGTCCAAGGTGGTTGACTGCGAAATGAAGCTCCTGACCCTGGGGAGTTCTCTCGAGCGGAGCACCATCAATACCAGCATTGAAAATCAATGCATCAAACTGCCCTGCCGAACGCGAAAGGGCTTTGGCGCACCTGGAGGCGGGGAGCACAAGGCCACATTGCAACCCACAATAACAATAACCACAGGGTACTGCCTTTCAACCCCAATACCACCAGTTGTTAATTCGCGGTTGGTTTACCAGCGCTCACTAGTCGCTAGAAACCCCCTCAAAGATAGAAGCCGCAGGAACCGGAAGTCGCACCCCCTTTGTCTCACCCTGCCTGGCCACTGATGGCAAGTCTGCCAAGTCGCAAGGAACATCAACTTCACCAATCACAGCCTCTGGCACCAAGTCCACGATATCTTCTTTCGTCTCACGGGCCTTCTCTTTCGAGCGGCATAGAGGAACGACCTCCCATCCTTTAGAGGCCAGGTCTACGGCCGTTGCCAAACCGATGCCGGAATTTGCTCCGGTGACCAAAGCTCGCCTACGGGAATCACCGGACTCTGCAGCCCGAGATCTCTGCTTGATAGCACTGCCAGCAACCATTCCAAGAATCACAGAAGCTACTGGAGACCTGCGAGACGCGCGCATTCTGGTCACGGGATCAGCCTTTAGGGCTGGTTTGCCCGTGTCCCCAGCAGAGCAGAGGTGCCTCCATCCAGCCCATGTCCCTGGTGCCTGGACGAGGAGTGGCATGGCAGCTTGACGCCTTTTGAATGGGGCCTACATTGGGCAAGTCGCCAACATCGTCTTGCCAACTGCCTTTGTACTTTAATATGCAACTTGACTTGCGTCGCTCCTTCTACCGGCATGCAGTAAGCCAGAGCTGTGAGCGAAGACCACTCGCAGTGACTTGACATGAGCAGCACCGAGGCAGTCCAGAGGGCACAGTTCCAAGTCCGGCGTCAAATCCGGCGCCGTGCCCGTCAGAATGAGAAGCAGGCTCACCTTCCTCGGTTTGGTATTCGGCTTGGGCATGGCTGGATGTTCAATCATAATCATGGTTCGCGCTCCCAAATTGTGCCCAGTCGCAGCTGCTCGAGATGATCTTCGTGCGAGGATGTGACCTCCGGAAGCGGGTGAAAGTCCGTTCTCCCTGGCTTGGCTCAGCATCAATCCGTGCATTTCTAAGCTCATGCTTCAGCTGCTCTTGATAGAAGCTCAAGCTGGGCCGGCGAAAAGAATCCTGCCGTTGGTTGCTTCAGTCTGGCCTGTATTCGTTATCCCGTCCCTTAGAGACACAGCTCCCCGTCCAGAACGTCATCTGACCGGGGCAGAAGGGCTCGAAGGGCAGAGATCAGACAGGTGTTGCTACAAGCAAACACACTCCCACACTTTAAATCAACACAGTTGCTGATCCAAATCCGCCAGCAAAGCCGTCTCGCTTTGCACCGGCCTGTGCTGTGCTGTGTTGAATCAAGAGAAGCTCCCGGGCAATGGAGAGAAGGACCAACCTCGCATGACACCAGCGAGTGACTTTAAAACCAAAGCAACACTCAAGCCATGTGGGAGAGCCGTCCCGAATGCTCTGGGCAAGTGGCTGCTCCCGTGCGAAGAGATCCGGCCTTTTCGTGCATGGAGCCAACAGGACATGCTCATGACGATTTCTGCCCATGAAATCATCAGCATTAGCGAGGATGATGCTCCAGCTTGGCAGTGATATCCAAGAAAAAGTTCGCTGATCCTTGCTGTCACGAGTCGGCCAACAAGTTCCCGAAATTTCTTGAAGGATGTCTGAGAAACAAACCCACCGGAGGGCTTTGACGCATGAAGGCACTGAAGCCTTGCCGCATGCTGCAAAGGGCTGCAGCTGAACTCTGAACCAACTTCGCATCACTTCCATCGCCAAGGCGCATTTGTGCCAGAGTTGAATTCTCTCTGCCAGCACATTCCACCAGGCTCCCTGCAATGGAACCGGTCAAAACACATTCACGTTTCAGACGAACAGTGCCGGCAAACCTGCCGGAACTCGACAATCATACCTGCATCTAGCGCATGGCCGCCACCCACAACATCCTGTCTATGTTCGGCCCAAGCAGCCTGTCACTTCCTCGAAAACGACGGTGTCCCCAGCCACACCTTGCTCTGTGTGGCAGTACATTCGTGTCGTGTCTTCAACCAATCTGAGTGGTAGGCCACTCTGCTTGGCCCATTCTCTGGCTTCGGAGAACATCTTCTTCGATATCAGTAGCTGCCTCAGGCAAGTCCCAAACTGCCTTCTCTTCATGCAACGGGCAGTCGTTCCAGGTGGTCGACAGCAATTCTGTACTCGGCACCCGGAAGTCAACATCCAAACCGGTCCTCACCAGCGCACACAGAGTGCCGACAACGAGCTGCGACACAAGAGCACGCAGAAATACAAGCTTTTTCCAAAAATCCGTGGCCCCAGCTGCTGGATCAGCCTGTCAGTATGTCTGGGTGTGACCGCGACATCCATCCACTCCGTACAGAAGCTACATGTAGCAGCAAGCTGCAGTCTCAACTTTTCGCCTGTAGGCGCTGAAGAGCAGCGAGAAGCGCGGAGAAAAGCCAGCTTCATCAAGCCTGACTTTTCAATGTCGAGTCAAGCAACAAACTGCCTTCTTCACACGAACTTCAAGTCATGCGTACGGTCGCGGGATACGCGCCGGTTCGGCAAAGCTAGGCGGGCGAGAATGGGGCTAGCATCAGCCAGAAGCAATGCAAGCTTCCCAGTGCTTCCCGGCTCGTCCTGCAAAAGCCTCTGCCACCTTTGTCGGCCAGCCTTTGGAGCAACGTTCGCTTTCTTAGCGATCCCGTATCTGGAAAAACTGTGGCCTGCATAGTCATCAAATCCCTTCTTCATGTGTCCGTGCGTCGCGGGGACATGTCCGAGACTGGGCTCCTGTTTCATAGCTCAGCCTTTGCTAGTTGTCGCTTGCGGCCATGACTCATTGTTACACCTGGGACCTTGGTGCGTTTTGAAGGAGGGGCAGAATCTACAGGGCTAGATAAGCACCCGGATCAGGCTTGCGGTTGCCGTGACGTGCGCTGCTCAACGTCCATCTAAAGCCACGGCGTGCTGAAGCAGGTGTGTCCTACTGACAAAGGCCGAGACAATTACCGAAACTGGGTGGTCGGCACTGATAACAACATCATGCGAGACCTGGGAAAACCATCCAGAAGGTACCTGGCAAAGACGAGCGGATTACCAAGATGTTGTGGGAATTGGACAGCGCATGCTGGTCGATCCTACCATACCATGTCCTCGCTGAGTCGTTCAACATGTGGCCTCAGTACACACAACCACCAGCTTCCGCTTTGTGTAGTGTTTGCGGCCGTTGTATTCTGCAGACTCCCCTACCATGTCCTGCCATTGCATTCTGGTGACGAGAAGTCCAGTGCGCGCGATGTTCCCTGGGCAAGGCTTCAGTCTCTCCGTCCAGCACTGTCTCGACGTTTCAGGGACGGGGCGGACTCCTGGCGTCGCCCGACGAAGCGACGCAAATGCTCGCGGCAGCTCTTGAAGCGGCACTGCCTCGGCTCACCAGAGGCTCTGCCGGCGCTCCTTGCATGTGCTCGCAACTCCCCGTGCTGAGCCGCAGACACAAACGCTCGATGAAAGCAAACAAAATCGATGAGCGGATTCTCCGGATCAAAGATCTGTCGCCGTCATACTTGCATGTGCGAACGCTGAGTGCAAACAGCAGCGACTACAGATTACAATGAAAGCAGACATGCCTTGAGGGCTCGAAGAACCAAGGAGAACGCATGACCTCAATCAAGGCAGAAAGCTTGCTGGCAAGTGTGGAATAAAATCAAGCGAAACGGAAGCAGCCATTGGTTGCATAGCACCAGGCGCTGTCGACAGAGGCTTGCAATCTGCGCGGCTACCTTCCAGCATCTGGCATGGAAGCATGGTCTCTGCGGCCTCAAGCTGAGGCGCCTCGCCCGGACTTGCCGCTGGTGATGGCAAGGGGGCAACAACAGCATCTGGCACCTTGTGACAGGAAGCGTTGTCGACCATGCACTTCTTGTAGCGTGTGAGAGAATCTCTGTTGATGCTCAAGCACAAGTTGCGTCGGTTTGAGCATCATGAGTTTTAAGCTTGACGGCGCTGTGGGCTCAAAGCCAGCAGCGAGACAAGATCAACGCAAAAGAAAGCATCCGAACGTAAAGATCCCACTTTTGCGGTCTCAAACTCGTAACACAGGGAAGCCTAGAAAGCTTCATCCTGCGCGATCCTCACAACCTCCCTTTTAGGATCCCAAAACAGCTGGAACGCGCAGCCGCAACACGCACTCGATTCCGTGCACGGCACCTGATTATCCCGAAGTCGTTCTGCATTCACGGTGAGCCACACTGCCATGCCTCGGGGTGACGGAGCCACAATCGCGACACCGGTTTGCATCTCTGCATACTGAGACCGGGACATTGAAGGTAGGTCACGTCACTGAAGGCCGAAGCCACAACCGCGAGCCTTGCCTTTCTGTGGAGGAGCGCATGGCCTAATAGTCCTAAACTCATGGAGCTGCCGGTTGAGCGGAGCGAGCGGCTTCTTTCCAAGAAGCTGATGGCATCGGCCGGCACACTCGAGTCGTCCACTTTGCCACTCCGGCCTCTCTCTTCACGTCTTCCCTGTCCTTGCTGCCCTTGCTGCCCTTGCTGCTCTTGCTGCTCTTGCTGTCCCTGCTCTTGTGCAGCAATCGAGTTGGCAAGAATTTGCAGATGGTTCTGCAGAGGCACTTCGGTGAAATAGCCGCCAACAATGTCAAGCACCGTCTCTGCAGGGCACTGCTGCAAGTCGCTCTCATACAAGAACATAACCCAGTCATTGTTCCGTGCAAGTTCGTGAAGAAGAGTGAGTGACCGCGGCAAGGAGTGTACTCGGCAGAACAATGCCACGAGGTGCCAAGGCAGATCATAACCCAAAGCCTGGATGGAGGACGCTGTTGGAGCCGATGGATGAGGATCCAAGGCCCAGGTGGATTCTTCCAGCATGCGCAGAGCATTCAACAAGTGGGGAGAGCTGATTGCCGCCTCGGCGGCAGCACTCGCCGATGCATCTTCTGTGTCAGGGAAGGACATGAACAACTGAATCACGCTAGCAGCTGCAGCTCGCTGACGGTCTTCACCCGCGCTTCGACTTTGATGCACGGTGTGGGAATAGATTCGCTTCGCTGCTTCCACATCCACTCGCAACTTCTCTGTCTCCAAACCGCAGAGCTCCAAAAGGCAAACGGCACTGGAGACGACCCCCTCATTCAGCAGATTGTGCAATGCGACAGACTTTGCTGCTTTCCGCAGACGACGGGCATCCTGCATCGTCCCATGGCACACTCTGTCTGAAATGTCTGAAAGAGGAGTCGTCCTCTGCAGCCAAAGCGAGTGGAAATCGGAGTTCCTCCCCGGCCCTCAGAGCTGAAGGGCAGTCTCAGGACTGAACAGTCATCCACTCGTAAGGACATGGCTTCAACTGCCGCTTGCAGTTCGTCATCAAGACATGATATGCCATCATGGCCTCAAGCTGCCACACGCGAGGCTGCACGCATCATGAGCCGTAGCTTCAGAGGCCCGAGCTCTTCCTTGGGACAGAAAGTAACCTGCGGTTTTGGAGGCTCTCGGTTAACATGTAGCAAAGCCGTAGTCTAATCTCCTGGGCCGACAAGAGCGACCGTGCGCATGAGAAGTTTCGAACGAGCCAAATCCTGAAAGACTAAGTTCCCAACATGCACAAACTAAACCCAAGCTAATCCAAGCCGGCGGGACTTTCCTCCAGCTCATCGGGAAAGTGCTCGTCCGTGTCCTGCGGACACACTTCAGCAACCCGGCTCCTTGCTCCAAGGCTCTCTGAGGCGCCCTCCGCCAGTTGTGCCAGGTTCAGCACCTCGCATTCCTCGGAAGACCGGCAGATGGCTCATCACAAGCAGTTCCCTTGCCAATGACACCAAGCTCGGAGCTTCAAAGATGCAGAGTCGATCCAGGACTTGGACCTGAAGCACGGAGGATACGGCCCAAAGAGCAACCAAGACCGTTCTTGACCTTAACGCGAGGCTTATTGCAAATAGCTTGTCAGCCTGCAAGGAGAGCCTAAAGGCAGACACGCCTGCAGGCATCTCCGAATGGGGAAAAAAATCGAAGAATTTAGGGCAAACTGCCAAACTGCGGCTGTCACGCCTGCACACCTTGACAACGCCACTATGCCGGAAAGCCTCGAACTCGAGCGACGCGTCTTGACCAAGCTCCAAAATGCTAGCCATCCATTGCGCAGCGTGAATCTCGAGACTCACAGAGACACACTTTTCATTACCATCGAGGCCGTTGAAGTTTTCAAACAGGCCTGCAGTAGCCCCAAGGGTTGGACTGTTTGGCACAAACGGTCCTGTTCATTGAGTTGCTGTTGCTACAAGACAATACTCGAAAATCAACACAAAGGATGGCCTCAAACAGGTGCACGAGTGGGCGAGGGTCTCCGGTGGCGAAAACGTCTGCACATTCGTCTTGCGCCAAAATCATCTGCAGGCTTGATAGATGACTCATTCGGAAGTTTTGGCTCTCTACAAGTGTCGATCGCAAGTCGGCCGAAAACTCATGTGCCGCAATGCGAAACTGCTGGAAAGAGTTTCACCTTCGCCATAGCAACCGCTTGAATGAGACTGCACCCAACCGTTGCGTCTCAAGCCGCCGCCTTTAAGTTTCAGTTCACATGTCGGTATGAGGAACCTGAAGCTGACTTCAAAGTCAAAGTTTTCGGCTTCAACAGTGACAAACTGAAGAGAAGCTCACCATAGGGTCAACACGACGCGTCAAGCAAAGTAGGTCAAACCTTTTTCCCTCCGATTATTATCGGCTCTCGGACCACATTAAAGTCAAATTCAAGCTCCCATCTCGCCGCCGCCCTAATCTTGCCTATGACCGCGGTGCTGCAGCGCCGCCGGCACGCATTCTGACATTTCCCAAATCAGCCGCCACAAGCTTGGGCCCACTTCTGCTCTATGATCCCTCACATTTATGCTACAGCAACCGTAAGGAAGCATTACACAGGCTTGCACCTGGTCTGCAGGACCAACACGGCGTTCTTTCCCCGGCACTACCATCGAGCCCCGCCTGATATGTCGTCCGTTTTGGTACCTCCATGTCAGGTGTTGCTTTGTTAGCCGCTAACTCACCACTAACTTCGGTCGTCTTCACCGAGCCTCCTTTGACCTAGATCTTCCGTCTTCCGAAAAACTACATTTACGACTTCAACGATTCATCCCAGTTGTCCCCCTGCCCGAGCAAATGACTTTGAGTGATCAAAAGGACAAATTGTGTTCATGCCGGGCACCCTTCCCGACACCCCAGCCACAGGTAACGAGCTTGCTTCTCTGGTTCGGCTGGAGAAGCCAGTTTGCGCCCGAACCTTTACTCAGTCAACTTCAGTTGAACAATGCACCTGCCGACTAGTTCCCCTGCAGACCAACTAATATCTTTTAATCACCGACCAGAAACTACGATCGGATCCAAGGTACCTGACCCAAGCTTGCTCAGGAACTCTGGGAACGCACTCCAGAACATGAAACATTGACTCAGTCTAGCAGTCTGGCAGAGCACGCTAATAGCATCTAATAGCACACGTGTGTCCGTTACGTCCGGTTGGAGGCACTCCTTCTCAATGTCAGACGGCTCGACAGACGCTCGGCCAGGTCATCTGGCGGAACATGCTGACGCTGACAACAGCAAAGGAACCGGTCGGGACGGATCGGTAACCGCAAGACGGCTGCTGTTTGCTGTGCAGAAAGTCCAGAAGAGGAATAGAGATAAGAAAGCTTGCGAATCCGCAGGAACGGAAACAGACGGTCAAGTGCTATGAATGTCCTGCACTATAGGTCGGTCTGATACCATCGTTGAGGAACAGCTCTCACGCTTATGATCGAAATTGAAACCTGCCCCTTGAACTCGAAGCTCTGCGCTTTCTAGTGGAAGCTGCCCAAGGGCAACAACACTTTTCTTTTGAAGACATACTCCCCACCGGCAAGACTTGTGGAGCTTCTAGAAAATTCTCGAACTCTGGGGCGCTCACAACGTCAAAAGACGCGACATCGCTCAGAAGCGTTGACAGCGCGACCTGAGTTGCTTCGTTGGTCAAGTTGCTATAGCCTAGAGGGCCTAAAAGGCCTAGGGTACTGACATCTCCCTTGAAGGTTGCCATTTCCTCGACCGTCATGTGCCTCGTCTCTGGACCACTGGACTTGCGTGCAATGCTTGGATGCCAAGGCCTCTCGCCACCGGTGCCTGCAGCTCCTGCAAAAAGCAGCCTCAAACTGACCCCAACCTACAGCTCCAGAGCTCGGCAGGTCTCCTTGCATCTCAAGCTGAGGCAAGACTTCCTGCGCGCATTCACTGCTGTTGCACAGGACACTCGAGTCTACCTGGTAGGCTTGTGAAGATGACTTAATCAAGGACGTTTCATCTCCAACACTCAGGCGCATCTAATATCCATCACTCCTGGGGCATCATCCGATTCTCCGTCTTGCCTAGCGCTATAGCACGTGACATGCGATGTCGCGTGCACATGACCATGGTGCTGATCTCGGCAAGAGCCACCTTGGCAAGAGCAAGCCTCGGCCACTGCCTCCACGAGGCTTCTGCCTCGGCTGGGGAATCGGCCCCAGTAATCTCGCAAGCTGTTCGCAATAGCTCGCAAGCTTCAACACGGTTCAATAAGCGACCGGCCATACTTGTCGCTTCCTGCGGGAGTCTCCTTTGTCTCATCCTCGCAGTGCTTCTTGCGCGATCTTACTCTGAATGCTCGACGTTCCGCAGTCATGAGTCATACTCATGCCTTCAAAACATGTGGTCAACATTGCTTAACAGACCTGAATTCCAAACCGTTTCACCACTTCGCAAGTGGAGGCGCTGCAAAAAGTTTTGGTGGTCACCAGAGCATACAACAGCGTCACAGCCCCTAGTCGGAAAGGAAAGGTATAACGAATCAAATCGGACCTTCCTGCCTCGATGCGATTCGACAGAAATGCTTCGCTCAGAGCAGGATATGCCGCTACGGCCTGGGATAGATGAAAACAACAAAGAGGCTGTCGTCACCATGCCTCACTGAACTTGCCTTTCGAAGTGTTTGCTTGCTAACCGCCCATGGGCAGTCCTTTGCAAATGGACGGTGAGAGTCTTGCCTGCAAAGACAGAAAAGGCAGGCTGCTCCTTGTCCAGCTTGAGGAGCTCGAGGGCACACGCAACTGGCCTCAGAGCAACTCGGCAAGTCAACCTAACATGCCAAGCTCAAGACCTACCTGCAACCATGAGCGCGGAGCGCAAACATCAAGGTTGCCAGGAATGCGATTGGCCTGCTCACGTGTTGGCTAACTCAACGCTGGTCACCGTCCCGGGTCAACGAAGCAACATACACCACTTCAGTCTTCCTCCCTGCTAAACTACTTTGCTCGTGCCAACATGTATTTTCTGGCGAAGAACATAGGCAGCGTTCCGCCGATCAAGTGTCGGACAGGGTATTGCAATTCACGGCTTTTTGCCTGGAGTCTGCCAAGGCCCCCAGTGGCATAAATGGCACCTGAGCTTGCAAGAGGCTCGTGCACGCCTGCTGCTGTTTGCAACGATGCGTCGAACCCGAAACCGCCGCGAATCGCGCACCAGACCAACATCCGCATATGTTCCCAGGCTTTCCGTTACCCCGAGGCAGCAGCTCCCTCGGCATCTTCCTTCACAAATCTGGTAAGCGAAGTATCTGAAGATGGATAAACCTCACCGCGCATTGCACGGGACCGGGCACAAAGAAACCTCCGACCAATGAATGTCATGCGCACATGAGCAAATACCTGCTAGCTTGTGAACATCTGTCAAGATATTTCCAAGACCAACACGGAAGCGGCATGGTGCAAAGATGCAGCGAAGAGATGGGGATTGCCAAGGCGTCCGACGAGGAGTAGTGGAGCCTTGCAATAGCTTGGCCAGAACTTCACTAGGTTTGCGGGGAAACATCTGAAGCCACGGCCCACGACCGCTGCGATTGTTGAATGTGGAGCTCCTCCCACAAGTTTCTGGCAGATTTCGAGCCACCAGAGGAGGACAGAGGCCTTGAGGGTGCTCATGGTCGTGGCCAAATTGTAGCGCTGGAGGTACAGCCTCGAGGCCCGAGGCGCGAGGCACCGCACGACACTCGCAGGTCAAGGCCGAGGCAACAGAAGCGCGGGCAGGTCCTAGGGGCCGAGGCTGCACGGCGCTGCAACGAATCTGTGACGCTGCGTGTCACTCTGCGCATGACAACTATGAGTATTTCACAGAGGCATGGCAGGTTGGCAGAAATGTGACATGTCTTATCTGCCACCGAGGGTCGTTGTCAATGCAATAGTTGATGAAGAAGCAGTGGAAAGGACTCACTGTTCCCACCGGCAGCAAATGGTCCAGTGGCAATGATCCCTCATCGCTGTCAGAGCTAGGCAGCTTAGATGCCAGCGTCACTTCACGTCCCTTTGGTGGCTCTAGGCTCATTCCGTCGCCGAAAAGTTTGCCACAAAGCGTCAGACGGCACAGAAGCGCATGGAAGTCCTGTGTATCCCCGCTGCAAAAGATTCCTCGGCGGCCCAGCTGCTGCAGAAGAACCTCTCGCGAATAGGAGGTGCAGAAACGGAGACCGCGATGCTCGAGCTTCTCCAGGTCCACGCAGCTCTTGCCAAAGGCATCCACACAGTCCGTCTGAGGTGAAAAGGGAAGCGATCGGACCCAAGCCGCAAGGCCTCGCCAATCCTGGTGGGCGACGAGGAAGTCCAGCCAGCAATGCTGCCACGCTTTGGCCGGCGGCTCTGCACCAGCAGGTGGCTGCAACCAGGGCAGTGGCTCCACCAAGCGGGGCCAGAAGTGGGTCTTCTCCATGACGATCCGGGCCCGCGTCTCCCAACTCCTCGCAAGACAGCAACGCTCTGCTGCCGCCGAACCGCCCCTGAGTCCCAGCCCGCGCGCTCCATTGCCGCATCCAAGCAAGCGTCACGTGGAGATATCCCATCGTGTGACCTAAGGCGGAGTGGAGCGGTTGTGTCGAAAGTACTAAAGTCTTCGGAGGTCATGCTACATGCAATTGCTGCTTGGGCCGTGGCTCTTGGGGCCGCCCTCGTCCAAGCCCAGGGCCTCCCAAAAAAAACATAGAGCGCAAAGAGCGCAAAGGGCGCAAAGAAAATTCACGTCAAGTCGGGCGCAAAGAACCGTAGCACGGCTGCCTCCAGGAATCCTTCTGAGTGCGACAAGTCCTTGGAGGCAGGTAGGCAGGTGCTCGTCGCGACTCCGAAAAAAAGGATTCAACAAAGGCCCGCACAGCACTCAAAGGGGTGTCCTCATCCTGCGGCCTCGCAAGAGACAAAAAAAAGCGCTCTCGAGCTGCGAAAACGATGAAAACGGGTGCAGAATTTCTGTGGGATGTTTTTTGCGCTTGTGGGTTTTTGTTTTGCTGCGGGCGGGGGGGGATCCAGCGCCTGGAGACGCCGGTATGTAAGGGGACAGCCTTTTGCCGTGCTGTTGGAACCGCCAGTTTTTACTCGGGCGCATGTTGGTTGTGCTTCGGGATCCGGCAGTACTTGTGGAAGACCATGTTGGCCCATCAGTGCGAGCGGGGATCCGCGAGTTTGGGCAGTAGTAGGTGGAAAGCACTTTCGCCGCGGTCCCGAATCTTGCTGAACCTCATCGACAGTTGGGGTTCCGTCAAACATACAGAGATCGGTGGTTCCGGGGGGCGCGAGAGGGCAAGATGCTTCTCGGGACAAGCTTGCCCGTGAAGATGTCCACGCGAGTGGCCCACAGGCTAGCCATGCTGCAGTCGCCTATATTGCATCCGCATTGTGACAATGTGTAGACATACGTACATATGGAAAGACACACATACATGCAAAAAACATGAATATATATATACATACATACATACATACATACATACATACATATATATATCAGTTTACACGATCTCCACCACTCGCACACCTCGCTGAACAGCCCTGGATCGCAGACTTCTTTTTCCTCGCGATCGAGACGTGGGACGTGATCGCGTCATAGATCGGATCATCAAA